ATGCTCTATCATTGAGCTACATTCCAGCCCTTTGTTGTTTTTTTAAAAGTAGGAAAAATTTATTGAGAGAAAGATTACTTCTGCCTAAGAGAGACAGAAGGGGAACCGGAAAGTGGTTGCCTGCCCATGCTGCTTCTCAAAGGTGTTTTATGGAACAAAGCCACAAGGTGAGGCAGGTTCAAGGTGGAACAAAACTATAGTCAACTAGTAAGATTACAAGTATAGCTGCTTAGGTAATACTGCTTCAATGAGAAATCACAAGGTGGACAAAACTATGAACAATCAATAAGTTTAGGACAAGTATAGTTGCTTAGGTAATATTGATTAAATGGAGATCCAATGGGGAAGCACATCACGAAGCAAGTGTACAAGGAGTGAGCAAGGCTTTCCAGTGGTAAAGGGTGGGTCAGGGATCTTTCTTGGAAGATCTTGGTCCCCTACCGAGGTGTTTGATACTTATTTAGAATATAATCACTGCTATTCATTCTATGGGGGTGTGGTAATTTCTCTTCTTTTACAATGAATGCTGCCTTTCAGTGAATGTGTCTAGATTGTCCTTCATGTTGGCTCTGCAAGGGCCGGGCCTGTCTAACTGCCTACAAGATATCTAATTAACTTACCTATCTACGATATTCCCCCCTCTGAAGAAATACCCCTAACTGCTGTGAGGGAACAAAGGGCAAAGACTGTTCTGGCTACTTCCAGCTAAAGAGAGTCATAGTTGTGATCAGCAGTAAGAGTCTACAGAGGGTCTATCTAAAGGCCCTCAATAGATGCTAGGCATTGTTATCTTGGGTAGGTGTATAGCTTTGAGTGTGGAGGAGACAAAGCCAAAGAAACAGAGTCATACTCTGACTGCTGATCACAACTATGACAATACATGGGCCAAATAATAAGATCGGCAGGATTGCTATGAATATAGCCAACAAGCGTTTCTACCAGGAAGAACTAATAATAGCCTCCCACAAAGAGAACATCCAAGGGACTTCAGAATCCTACATATTGTAATTTAGCAGTTATGAGTTATTTACAAGGTCGATCTGGTGGATCCTGGTAAAAGAAGTCTAGCACATTTGTCATTAATTCCATTTGTATGACTGCTTGGAGTTTGGCAGCCTCTAGGCAAGAATAAAGAAAATTTTAAAGATATTAGAGCATGTATAATCTGAGCCTGAGCACTAGAATGGAAAGGGAGGTTGGGGAAAGAGTCATGCTTAGAAACTGAAATAGTGAGTGATTGTCTTAGATTCCTTTACTGATGAAGGTTATCTATAAGTCTGATATTTTGTCATAGGTCTCTCCAGTCTTAGCTGTAAGAAGATAGAGACAATTTGAAGGACAAATTTAGCTAAGAAATTTAAAACTCTAGTTGAGCTCTTACAGATTTTACTGTAGTTTTCCCCTAATGAGCCATAGTTGTTGAACACCCAGAAGAGAAGTTCCTCTGGTGTCCAGCAATCTCCCTACTCAGGAGGTTGGGTGACTTGAAACAAAAAGTTACAATCTATGAAGCAAAAAGACCAAAGTTAGAACCTGTGAAAGAAAACTCTTACCTCTGACCAGTAATCTTGGAGGAAAACCTTCAAAATGATAATAGGGGGAAGAGGTGCAACTCCCAAACCTGCTAGATATCTGAAGTGCGAGCTCATGTTCTCTAAAATCAAAGAATGAATTCTAGGAACAACGGAGATTAAAAGTAGGAAAAATTTATTCAGAGAAAGATAGCTTCTGCCTAAGAGAGAAAGAAGGGGGACCAGAAAGAGGGTTACACCAGCCCTAGGCTTTTTCATCAATGTATATTTACTGACTTTTGGAAGGATCTGTTTTTTACTATCAGTTAAATTAGGTCAACAGGTATGCTAAAACTCTCCCACTACTAATGAATTTATTTGTTTAGTTCTGACTGTATTTGCTTTATCTGTTTTTAATGGTTGTTCAGTGCCCACACATTTAGAATTGCCTTATCTTCTAGTACCTAGTTTTGATCCTTTTATTGTAGATAAGTAAGTTAATTATATATTTTTTAGGCAGGTAGACAGGGCCTCCCTTAAGGTGCCAGCCCTCCAGGAGCCAAGACAGGGAAGAGCCAACATGGAGAACAATTGAGGCACATTCACTGGCTAGCATTATAAAAAGAAGAGGCACTACTTCCCTTAGAGATAGAGAGCAGTGATTGATATTCTAAATGGGAAATTCCTTGCATGTGACTTGTCTTCCCATTTGATCTTACTGGTTGGTAATGGTTTTGTCCCATCTCATGCCAACCTTGTAAATTTCATTGGGTCTTATAGTTTTGTCCCACTTTGTACTCATCTCATCATGTGGCTTTGCTGTATAAAACGTCTTTGAAATGTGGGGTGGGCAGGCAACCCCCTTTCTGGTCCCCCTTCTGTCTCTCTTAGGCAGAAGCTTTCTTTCTCCCAATAAATTTTTCCTACTCTTAACCTCTGTTGTTCATAGAATTCATTCTTCAATTATAGAGAAGACAAACTCGCATTTCAGATATCTTGTAGGTTTGGGAGTTACATCTCTTCCCCCATGTCACTTTCATCTTTAAGAAATCTTTCCTTTTATCTCTAATCATGCTTCTTTTGGTTAGCATTTCATCATATATCTTTTTTGTTCTCTTGCTTTAAATTTATCTTCATCTTTATGATTATGATGTCCACTATAATCAGACATTAGTGTAACTAAGAACTTTTCTTGTAATTCTGTAGGATATTTGAAGCACCATGAGACACTAATATTACTATTATTTTATACAGTATTTATTTGTGTTTACTGACATGTCACCCTTTCCATTGCTTTTCATTCATTATTACATAGTCAGGCTTCCAAATGAGATCATATCCCCTCTATCTGAAGTTCTGTGTATTATAGTTTGGATCCTCAACGTTCCCTAAAGGTCTTATGCTAAAGGCTTCTTTGCCATCCTGTGGTGCTATTGGGAGACAGTGGAACAGTTAGGATGTGGGGCCTACTGAGAGGAAGGAGGGTAGATCTTTGGGGGACATGCCCTTTGAAGGGGATAGTAGGACCTCTATCCCTTCTTCTCACTCTCTCTGCTTCCTGGCCACCATGAGGTGGCCACTCTACACTGTGCTTGCTACTATGGTGCTCCACTCTACACTGTGCTTGTTACTCTGGTGCTCTGCCTCACCATGGGTCTAAAGCCATAGGGCCAACAAGCAACCATGTACTGAAATCTCTGTAACCATGTGCCAAAATAAATGTTTCCTCCTTAGAAGTTGTTTATCTCAGGTATTTGTCCCAACTACAGAGAGCTGATTAATATACCACCTTTGACTTTGGTATTGTTCTACTGGTGATTAATTCTCTTAGTTTTTATCCAATACATATTTTTAAACTGAATTTTTAAGGAATTTCTTTTCTGTGTCTTGACTTTAAGGCTGCTACTATTTTCTTTCAGCACCTTGAAGACATTCTATTTTCTTCTGGTTTCTGGAACAGGTACTTCTTGACTTATGATGGGGTTACACTCTGCTAAATCTGTGTCAATTAAAAATACCATGAGTCAAAATGCATACCATAGTTATACCTAACTGACTAAACATCATCACTTACCAACACAGTATGCTGTAGGCTATCCATTGTTTATCTTTGTGATCCTATGGCTGATGGAGCTACAGGTTGCTGGAAACTATAATGTTAGGTGAAATAAATCAGACACACAAGCTTAACCATTACATGGTGTCTTTTATATGAGAAACCCAAAGTGTAAATAACAAAATAAAAGATAGATAATAGGAAGTAGGGAGGTAGATCTTTCTCAAATGGGAAGAGGATTAAGAGATGGAGGGATGGCGTGAAAGAGAGAAAAAGGGTGGTGAAAAAAGGAATTTAAGAGATGTTATATACATGTACCAACACCACACAAGGATTGCAAACATTATGTACTACAAACAAGTACACAAAAAAACAAAGAAGGGGATCAAGAAAAAGATGGAGGAAAAGGGATTTTAAAAAGGAAGATATATTATATGCATATACCAATTCCCTACAAGAAATGTAAACATTATATACTGCAAACATGTACAGTACTAATAAAAATGTATATTGGACCACATGTCACTAGCCTGAGAGAAGACTGAAATTCAAAATAGTTTCTACTGAATGCCTGTTGATTTCACACCATTTAAAGTTTCAAAATGTTAAGTGAAAAGATTTTAAATTGGGAACCATCTGTGTTTCTTTGAGAAGTCAATTTTCAGTCATAATACTGCCCTATTAAAAGAAATTCATCTTTCTCTGCCTGTTTTTCACATTTACCTTTTGTCTTTACTTTTTAGCAGTTTTAGTATGATAGGGCTAGGTGTGATTTTCTTTTCATCTCTTGAGCTCTGTGGTACTTATTGAATGTATGACTTGATAATTTTTTGTCAGTTTTGGTTAGTACTAGGCCATTATTTCTTCAGTTATTGCTTCTGCTGCTGTCTTTCTTTTCTGAATTTCCACTACCCATATGTTAAATCCTTTTACTCTGCTCCATTTATCTCTCGTGCTATTCTCTTAATGCCTCTGTCTGGTTGCTTTCTACTGATCTATGAACCGGTTTACTAAACTTCAAAGCTAGCTAAACCCTTTTAAAGTTTGGATCTGGAACACCCCCTGAAGGCCCATGTGTGCCTTTGTCCCCAGAGTGATGCTAATGGACGATGTGGCACCTTTGAGGAGTGGAACCCTTAAAGAGTACTAGGGAACCCTAGTCTCTGTCCCCCTTCTTTCTCTTTTTTATGTTCCAGTCTCTATGTGAGCAGCTTTGCTCTGCCACACACTCCTTGCCATGAAGCATGGCCTCATCACAGGCCCCAAAACAGCAGGGCTGACTAGTCACAGACTGAAACCTCCAAAACCGTGAACTAAAATAGACGTTTTTGTCTTTATCAATTAATTGCCTTAGGTACTTGATTAAAACAGCAGAAAGCTAAGCCACATAAACTTCTCTGTTTATTACATTGTTTTCTTTTCTTTTGAAATAGAGTCTCTCTATGTTGTCCAGGCTGCCCTCAAGATCACCATCCTCCTGCTTCAGCCTCTCAAGTGCTGAGATTATTTGCATGTGCAATTCCACCCAGCTGTAAGTTCTTAATTCTAGTTATATTTTTCAATTCTTGCTTCTATTCTGGTGACTTTTATTCTATAGAATTTCTTTAGAATATGTTCTAGAACATACCAATCAGAGTTTTCAGTATCCTAATACCTGGGAAAAAATTTTTCCCTTGTTTGTTGTGCCATTGAAATTTGAATACTGTTGTTCTGGGGAAATTTTTATCAAATGCACAATACTGTAATGAAAAGAGTAGAGAATATTTGGGGCTTAGGTGATAATGCCCTTCTCCAGCCAGGATTTACTTTTGTTTCTGGCAGGCAGGTAAGGAAGGAAAGTACATCTTAATCTATCTGGGATCAGGCTGAATTTATAGCTGCATTCGATGTCTATTAAGGCTGGCATGCATCTTGTTTATTCTTACTCTTTAGACTATAGCCTCTTGAGGTGCAGTAGCTTTGGTCTTTTGGGTGGTTCTCTGTACTTCCTCTATTCCTGCAGGTGTCCCAGAAGTCTAGAGTGTTTACTAGGGCCTTGTTTGGCTAGCCCTGAACTGGTTTTGTCCCTCAAGCCCCATGAAGCCACCTAAAACTCTGCTGAACTTCTTTTAAAAAGTTTTATTTTTTGATTGGCGTATAATAATTATATACATTTATGGTGTACAATATATATATATTTAAATAAGACCTCAAAACGACTGCAAATAGCCTCATTAAAAATAGGCAAAAGAGCTAGATAGACAACTCTGCTCAACTTATTAGCTGTTAGGTTGCCACTCCCAAATCAGTCAGCATCTGAGAAGACTGGAGAGGATATGCGGAACATGAAGTCACCTCGGCACCTTTCTTCTCCCTGAAACGGTGAGCTCCTCAAGATCTTACCCACTCAGTAGCTCTCTAGTCCTTTTGAATAGTTTTTTTTTTCTTTTTGAATCCATTGCTTTATTTTGTCCTGGCAGGAGAGACAACAAATCTGATACAAAGCAGTTCATGCCGCCAGAAGAACAGAAATAGAAGAAGTACAATGGACCACCAAAAAGACCAAAGCCACTGCACCTCAAGAACCTGTTTTAGCCTACCTGTGTGGAGCAACGCAGAGTTGTCTCACCCTCCAATTGCCTGGTGTCTGCATTGAGCTCCAAGAGCAGTCAGCGTGGATGACTGCTAGATAGGATTCCTGGCACATGACAAGAGAACTTGGTGGATGAAGTCCATGCAGTCAGCTCCTTCTCACCAGACAGATCTCAGCCCAAAGGCCCCTCCTGAGAGCAGCCACCCTGGACTCCTCTCTGTCTCTGGTCCTCCCTCATGTACCTCCTCTAACACAGTCTGAAACAACCTCTCTTATTCAACAGGTTATTCATCTAATGAATGTAACCCTCGCACGGCACCATGACCCCTGCCACTGCCACATAAAAACAAGGACCTTGACCTTTTCATTCCCACAGTATGTATTCAGGTGCCTCCTATAGTGCCTGACACACTCAGGCATGCCACACTGATTTGTTGCATAAATGAACAAAAAACTAAACAAATGATAAAATCACAAAAGAGTACATACAGAAGCACGCAAAGGTAAAAATCCTACGAGGACCATCTTTCTCACAAGGTCTTGGCAAACAGCACAGTCCTTCTTTTCTTCACTCTTTCTCTCCTCTCAGCTCTACCACCTTCCCCACACTCTGACCACTGTCACATCTTCCAGATCCTACCTTTTTCCTCAAAAATTTCACCCATCTCCACAACAAGCTCATCACTTTGTCCATTCTTAGGGAATTGATCAATGCTTTCAGTGTCTTCCAGGCAGGCACCATGGCTTTCTTTGCTCTGTCTGAGCTGCTAGAGAGGGAAGTGGTCAGAGTAGAGTCCCACAAATGAGGGTGAATATAACTGTCCCAACTCCAATTGAGTCCCTGTCCACACAGCTGTTTCTCTGTACTAAGAGATAATTTTCCTGGCTCTGTAGAGTCCAAGCTCCTGTGTAGCGAAAGCTTCTCATTTCTTTTGTGAGCATGATCTGTGCCAGACCTTTAAGAACAATCCTTTCTTATTCACCATTCAACCTTGGTGCTATTTCAAAAGACACTACATTTGACATTCACTGTATTTCTAAAGGATGGCACCAGCTTCCCCAAGTCAGTTTCCCTAGCTCTCTGACTCTAGTTTTCTGATAAAAGGTAAAGAGGGCCTGCTGGCCCATTCTACCACTTGTAGCCAGTGTCAGGCCTCAGGACTAGAGTGTGCTGCTGCCTCGGTCCTTCCACTGACATTGCATGGTCAGTCTCCACTTTTGAAACTTTTTTTATCTCTTCCATGATGTCCCATTGCTGTGAGGACAAAATGCAATCCTCTGAGGAATCTGGATGCCTGCCTCTTCAGCCTTTTCTCACCTACGCCTCCAGCCAAGCTTTACCAAGCTTTTTTAATTTCCTCAAAAGCATTCAGTCTGATTTCATTTAGGAGCCATTGCAAAGAGCATCCACCTTACCTCAGCTGACTTTCTTCTCATCCTTCAGAACTGTTTATTGGCCCCTTTCTCACAAAGTATGCCCTTCCCCCAGGATGTACTGAGAACCTGAGAACCACCCAGAATAAGCTTATTATAATAAATTATAATAACCTGTTAACAGATCTACCTCCCCAGCTAGGCCACAGTGATGGGGGGGGGTCATCAATGTTTTTTGTTCATTAATGTATTGACTTGTTTGTGTCTGTCTCCCTCAACGGTAATGACCTTGATGAAATCAGGAACAATATTTTTTGTCCACTGTTATATTCTCAATGTGCAGCAGAGCAGCTGGCACATAGTAGGGCCAAAGTTCAACACAGCCCCATTTTTATCTCATCACCACCTAACTTCCACTGAACACTTTGTGTGAGTTGGCTCTGTGATAAGCATTTATAGACTAAGTCATTTAATTCTCACAGTCAATGTATGAGATAGGCATAGTAGTCCCCCTTTATCCACAGGGAACACATTCTAAGACCTGCAATGGATGCCTGAAACCTACAACAGTACTGATCCCTGTATATGTATGGGTGGGTATTTATATATGTATACAATACATATATGGTTTTGTATACATATATGTATGTTTTTTCCTATACATGCATACTTATGACAAACTTTCACCTTTTTACTTAAATGCCTTTATGGCTTCTCTTTGACATATCTGAATTGCCAGCATAACTAACCTTGTACTTTGAGACCATTCTTCAGCAAAATATGAGTTACCTGAACACAAGCCCTGCAAGACTGCAGCAGTCAATCTGATAGCCAAGAAAGTTACCACCTAGGGGCAGTAGTGGATATAACATGGAAAGACTGAACAAAGGGATGATACATGTCCTGGGTGAAATAGAGCAAGATGACACAAGATTTCATCAAACTAACCAGAATGGTGCATGATTTTAAAACTTATGAATTATTTATTTTTAGAAGTTTCCATTTAATATTTTTGAACCACGGTTGGCCAGGAGTAACTAAAACCAATATAAGAGAAGACTTCTGTACTCCCATTGTATGAAGTAGGAACTATTATCAGCCCCATTTTACAGTCAAGGACAACAGGGCACAGTAGCTCAGCCAAAGCACAGACAGAAAGTTCTAGAATCATAAAGGCTTTCAAACTCAGGTAACGTGGCTCCAGCACCTTAACCCATACTCCATACTGTCCTTATCACAACATTTATTGCATGTGCTGTAGGTGCCTCTTCCCCGGAAGAAATGAACCAAGAACTAGCCTTTTAGTTGCTCAGCTAATATCATCCACCAGGTGGCAGTCACAGCTCCCAGATAAAATGCTGTTACGTTGTATCGCTCCGTACCCCCTTCCCTCCTGTGAGAAACTCGATTTTTTTGTTATTACCAAGAGGTGAGCAGTCTGGATTCAAAGCACAACTTTCTGATTGAGCTTTTTGAAGATGGAACTTGGAGAACGTGCTTGTCCCATCCGCCGCGTACATACACTATGCGGCAAGTGGCCCAGGCTACTGGGCACCAGAGCGGGTGGAGAACCAGGACACCCCTAGTGCACTGCACAGAATACAGGATCCTCTGTGTAAGATGTAATTTCAGTCCACAGAAGAGATGATTTGCTCCTCCCTCCCCCACTCCTCCTCAAGCAGCTGCTAGAGCTGAGGGGAAAACTAAAACATACTTATTCCTAGTCACGATTCCATTTGGCCAGTGGCAGGCGTGGGGACATAGGGTTCCCTGAGGAAATATCCTCAGATGACTGTTAGTGAAGGGCCCTCCCATGTCATCTGTGGCTGAAATGCTTTTCCTTCACCTGCTGCTGCTTGGAAGAAGTATGATTCCAAGTGGGGATCAGGGGTTGGATGGTCCTTCCTCATAAGTTACCCCAACTTTCACAGAGCTAGCCCCAGGACTTACTTAAGAAGGAAAGTGGCCCAATTCCATGGGAGGGTGAGAGGCAAAATGTGTTCTTTAGAATGAAGAAATTGTCATATTAGTTCAAACAAATGCATGTTGTTTTAACCCTCAAAATGTAATATAACATAGTTGTAATGTAACATAATTGGGTTCTTTATGTTTCAGTCAGAGGATATGATAATGGTACCCAAGTCTAAAGGTGCCTGAGAGCTAAATCTGTTCTCAGTCAAATCAGTGAACCTCTAAGGCCATTGCTCAACTTCAAGATAATATCTACTGTCTCCATCTTCAGCCTTTGGGAATAGGAAAATCCTGGCACCACAGTAACAAGACCAACACTTGAGTTAGGACTGAATGGATGAGAGGATCCACCCCTGTGGGGAGCTGAGAAATGATTCTCTAGATCTGGTAGCAAGAAAATTGAACACCCTACCCCTGTACCCTGCCCCTACTCCTCTGCTGCCTCACCACCACTAAACCAACATGACCATGTGTTTGACTCCTAGTTTTTTAGCTCAGTTTCCTCTAAAGTGTTTCCTGTGTAATCATTTCTAACTCATTTTCCTCCCATAACCTCTCTTCAAATTAAAATAATGCATAATGAGAATTAGAGTCTGTGCAGTGTTTCTGAACACCAAGCACTACTTGTTAAATCAGAGTGCACTTTCAAACAAGCAAAGAATTTTAATGAGACTTCAGAGGACAGGGAGGGAACTGTACTAAAAGTCTCTTTGTAATCAATATCCTTCTTCTTCTGTGTGTCCAAGGAGGATTAGAATGCATTGTTTGCTTCTATTTCATGAAGGTTTTGTCTTTGCTAATGGTTTCCAAGGGAAAAGGATTAGTAATGCGTTGTACATTGTATTTCTTCCCAAAATAGTAGAGCACGTGGGATTTTGCCAACACCCAGTTGGTTCACATGTGTCTTCCTCACTGCCCGTGTTTCCTCCAACTTGCCTGAATGCTGCTGTCATCATCTTGGCTCAATTCACCATAATCCACCAAAATACACCAATATTACCCACCAAGACTACTGCTTTCACCTCCTAAATTGTTCTTCCACCCACCCCACAGTCAGGTCTCTGCACAGTTGCCAGAGTGATCACAAATCAGTTCATATCCCTCCCTTACAGCTTTCTGCAGTGGCTCTCCCTAAACCAAACTGAAAATGAAATTGTTTAGACTTACAATCAGAGCTCAAATTATGAAACTACTAGAAGAAAACTTAAAGGAAATGTTTCATGGCTTTGGACTGAGCGAGGAATTTTTGAGCAAGATCTCAAATACCATGGCAACAAAAGCAAAAACAGACAAGTGGGATGATATCAAACTTAAAACCTGCATAGCAAAGGAAATACTCAGTGTGAAGAGACAAACTTCAGAATGGGAGAAAGCTTTTGAAATAATATACAATGATAATTAGTTAATATCTATGGTACACCAGGAAACAACCTACTTAAAAATGGACAAAAGACCTGAGAAAACATCTCTTAAAAGAAGACATACAAATGGTCAGTAGATGTATGAAAAATGCCAACATCACTAATCATCAGGGAAAAGCAAATCAAAACTACAAAAGGAGTTAGAATAGCTATTATAAAGGAGGGGAAAATGTGGAGAAAAGAGAAACCTTGGGAACTGTTGGTGGAAATGTGCTAATATAGCCACTGTGGAAAACAGTATAGAGACTCCTCAACAACCACAAAATTAAAAATAAAGCTGAAATAAAATCTTAAGTCTCCACCCTAGCCAGTAAGAGGCTTATGTGATGCCTCCATCTCACTCAGCTCTGCTCCTGCCCCACCCTCCAGCCCAGCCCCACTGCTCTTCATGCATACTGATCAAGCTCTGTCTTGCCTCAGTACTTTTGCACATGCTATCTGCTCTGCTCAGGATACTTTCCTCAGATTTCAGCATGGCTTGTTTAGTCTAATTATTCAGATTTCACCTATCAGAGAAGCCATCTTTCAACTCCAAGTTAAAGTAGACATACTGCTTCCTAGTTTTCTCCAGACTGTCCAATTTTATTCTCCTCACAATACCTACCATTAACATTTTCTTGTTTATAGGGATGTCTACTTGCTAATTGTTTGATTTTTCCTTCCAGAATGGAAATGCAAAGAGGAAAAAGACTGTTCTGATTTTGTTCCCACAATATCCCAGAGACCAGGACAGTGCAAATTCTTCTTTTGTGTGTGTGCAAATTCTTATTAGGTGAATGATTAAGCGAACAAGAAAATTACCCGATGTAATTCCTTTCTGCAGGTTGACAACTTTGGCTAACAGTTATCAAGTTCAAAATTCAGATTTGTGGATCCATGTATAATCAATCCTCTGTATCTCAGGGTTCTGTGTCTGCAAATTTAACTGAGCTTGAATTAAAAATATTCAGAAAAAATTTGCATTTGTAGTGCATATGTACAGACTTTATTCCTTATCATTATTCCCTAAACAATACAGTTTAACAACTATTTACATTGTTTTAGGGGTTGTAAGTAATCTAGAAATGATTTAAAGTACACAGGAAGATTTGTGTATCTTATATGCAAACACTGCACCATTTTGTATCAGGGGATTGAGCATCTATGGATGTTGGTGTCCTGGGGTGGGGGTGGAGTATGTCCTGGAACCCAATGCCCAGTGGATACTGAGGGGAGACATTATCTCCTGAGGTCCTCCAAACAACTCCCCAGATGGATGCGGATAGTCATAAGGCCCAGACAGAGCTGAAATAACTCACCAAAAGCACGCAGGTACAGAAATAAGACAGTCAGTACAGTCATAAGACCCAGAGAGAGCTGAAATAACTCACCAAAAGCACACAAGTACAGAAATGCATGCACACATGTGCACACACACACACACACACACACACACACACAATTTGCATCGAAGAGTCCAAATCCAGGCCTTTGTCTCAAATGTAAATGCCAAGAGGACACAGACTTTTCCTGTTTCCTCCCCATAGTGCCCGTGGGACCTAATAATGAATAAATATTTGTTGAAGAAATGGATGCATGATTGATTGGATGAATATGCAAACTTCTGGATAAAATTCTCTCTCTGGGATAAAGGCAGATTCTCAAACAGCAATTCTAGCCTCTGGGGCCTGGCTACCTAGTCTGCATAGGCCTAGAGAGGAGCCAGCTCTTCCTTTGCACCTTTTCTGCTTGCCCTAGAGCTTGGCTGGATGAGCTTCAGCTCAAGAGGCCCAGCCACAACCCACCCCAGCTCTGTTCTCCCAGCACCAGAGCTGTCTTGGCAACCAAGTACTTGCTACTGAGAATTGTAGTGTACAGCTGACCTAATAGCTATCTAGAAATGCAGTCTTGGAACGCCAGTGCTACTGCATTTTTACAAAATCCCCAGGTGAACTTGCTGCACATTAGCTTCAGGGCCTTCAGAACTTCCTATATCAAAAATTCCAATCTCTATTTTCCTCCTGAAATGTCTAAGCCTTGGGGCCCTATTAGCCATCAGGCTCTCCTCTTACAGCACAGAAATCTCCTCAATGGCAATTTGGAGAAGCAGTCTAGGAAAGAGAACTCACCTTGGGATCCTGTTAGTCACTTATTCAGTGAACATTTATTAAACACACACTGCACACCAGGCACGTGACAGACCCTGAGGAACCACTCAAGAGCAAGATGATATTTGTCTTCCTCTTCTCCCCTCAAAAGATAAACATGATACATAATGAAAATTACACATAGTAATAAGTGCTAGTCAAGAAGTGGGCTTCTGATAACAAAGGTGATAATGAAGAGGCTATTGCTGTGGTTTGAATGTAACCTCCAAACTAATCATGAAATTTGCCAGTGAAACAGGATTCAGCTGAGGTAAGGTGGCATTTGCCCATAATCCAAGCTACTGAGGAGGCTGAGACAGGAAGATTGGAAATTTGAGGCCTGCCTGGGAAACTTACTGAGACCTGATTTCAAAATAAAAAATAAAAAGGACTGGGGATGTACTCAGTAGTAAAAGCCCTAAGTTTCATCATCCTCATCACTGCAAAAGAAAAAAAAGGAAGGAAGCAAGGAAGGAAGGAAGGAAGGAAGGAAGGAAGGAAGGAAGAAGGGAAAGAAGGAAGGGAAAGAGAAAGAAAGAAAGGAGGAAGAAAGCAAAAAATAGTTGTGGGGTCTTTAAGAGCTGATTAGGTTATGGAGCTTTGCCATCATGAGTAGATTAAAGCTGCATCTTGCAGTGGGGCAGTTATCCTAAGAATGGCTTTAGTACAATCTGGGCCCCTCTTACCCTCTCTATTGCATGCTTCCTTGCCTTTCCACCATGTTATAATGCAGTACTGAAGACTTTGATGGATGCAAGTGCCATACCCAGCCTCCGGAACCATGTGCCAAATAAGTTTCATTTACCCAGTCTGTAGTACTCTGTGACAGCAATAGAAATAGGACTAAGATGAGGTCTTTAGAAAGGCATCGAGGACATACTCTCAGGGGGAGGATTGGACATCTGAGCTAAGGCCTGAAAGATGAGTGAGGAGCCAGGTCTGTGTTGAAGTGAGTGAAGGAACAGAATGAAGACTAGAAGATAATTCCACACTAAGGGAATAGCCAGTGAGCAGACCCTGCACCAGGTCAGGGGCTTGCACAGGAGGAAAGAAGAGGGGGTCTTTGCAGACCAGACATAGCCTACGATCAAGGGGGAGAAATGGGAGGAGGTTCAAGTGGAGGCCAAGGCCAGGTCCTGCAAGGCCTGGGGGAGATGGGTATAAGGAAGCCTGCAGATTTTATCTCCAGGACAGTGGGAAGCAGTTGAAAGGTTCTTATTAGGAAACAACGAAGCCATGTTCTGTTCCACTCTAACTGCAGAAGGTGGACAATGTAGGTAATAATCTCAGAGAGGAGAAGGAATTTTCCTGCTCCAAGTGTGACTAACAATTTCCAGACCTGCAGTAATGCAAATGATCATGGGAACTACTAATTCTTATGTTTTAAGTACTGTTTTTCATAAGCACCTGCTTAATCCTTACCTCAATCTAATAATGGAGATAATATTTGCTATTTATGTATTTACTGGTACAGGGGATTGAGCCCAAGGCCTTCATATTGAGCTACCTCCCTCTTTTTAATTTTTTGAGACAGGGTCTTGCTAAATTACTAAGTAGCCTAGGCTAAGCTTGAACTTGAGATCCTCCTACTTCAGCCTTCCGGAGTGCAGGGATTATGAGAGTATGCCACCACACCCACCAATATTTGCCTTTTCTGACTCATGAAACAAAGAAACAAACAACAACAACAAAACCTAATTCTCTAAGGTTTCTGAATGTGGTCAACATCACTCAGCCAGTCAGAGGTATCCCTAGGACAGAAACAAACCCCAGCCATCTCACCCAGAGCTATGTCCATAGTGACTCATATCTTTGAGGTTTGAACTCAACTTTGCCAAATTTCCAAACTCAAGTCAATTGTGTCCCACACTGTGTTGGAAACACATTCACCTACATCACGAAGTTCATAAATGCAAAGGGGAAATAACTGAGGAACTAAAATTCATTTTTTTCTCAAAGGCAGTCTCATTGAGCTGTCAGCTGAGGGGCACAAGGTCTACTTTCCAGTGCCTCTTCCTCCTTTCTGTTTCTTTCTCCAAAGAGGAAGATTTTGGGTGCAAAGTTTCCAGGAAACCAATCTCAGGATACAGCTCTGTTGGAGTTTGTTTCCAATCTGGCAGCACAGACTCTGCCTGCAGTGCATGAATCCCTGCTGTGGGAGGAGTCTCCTGCTCCTAAAATGGAGAGAGAGCTGGGCACTGCAGTAGCAGCCCAAGGCCTGGAGTCTAGTGCTTTCTTTGTCACCATGGCAACCAGTGTAGGCTGGTGTGGGGTGGCAACAGAGAATCCACAGGAGGAAACTAACTTGGGAGAGGAGCATCCAAACCTGCTACCCTGAAGTGGTGACCCTGCCCCCCACTGCTGCTTTCTCCCAACACAAGAACTGGCAATTTGTAAGCAGACAGATAATAAATAGCTGCAACAATGATTGTGATAATGAATCGACATTCATCCGGCATTGGCTGGGGCAAGACATGGCTCTCACTGCTCTCATGACCAAATTATAGACCCCAATTTCCAAAGATTATGGAGCTCTGTTCTCTATATGGGATTCAAAGAAAAGCACCTTAAAATATTCAGTAAACATAAGGAAAACCAAGGAGGATTCCAATTTTCTCCCTTTATGGGTGACAGCATCACTGCAAAATTGCTTGAGGCTGACAGAGATTAATGTAATCAGGAGGGTAGAAGACTATCCTTCCCCGGTTATGGGTGCGTGTGTGTGGGGAGGTGTGTATGGGGGTGTATGTGTGTGTGTGTATCTGTGTGTGTTGCTACTGGATTCCAGGTACAAAATTGCATCTGATAATTGAGTTCTACTTCCCTTCTCTCCCACCCTCCCTGAATTCTCCCTACTCTCTACTTTAACCCACATGCTTCCACACCTACCTTCTACAATAATAGCCCTTAGGGAGGTTCTGCTGATCTGACTTAAATAGGACTTATGGGACAAAACCTAATCCTAAGTGCATCCTTTCCAATTTTAAATTTCATGTTTACTCTTTGCTGGATTTGAATTTTTTGAGTGGTGAGAAGGAAAGTGCTGAAGACTCTGTTCGGTCACAGACTGAGCATTGTCCTCAGAAGGATGTTTTACTACAAACCTAGGTTCAAGCATTCTAAATTGGTTTTTCCAGGCTGTACTGTGCAGCATCACATCTGTTCAAGAACAGCTGTTCAGGCTGTGGCAGAAATCAAAGCTACGCATTCCAGAGCTCCAGTGCTCTAAAAATGGCACATGCTTTATCTCTTTCATAAATATATAGAAAATCAGGAATACAAATTCTCTACTGAAGACTATTTTGGTGCTTCTGATATCCCAGTGCAGAATGTTCAAGTGCCGCTTTAAAATTCACAAGAACACATCAGTGACAAAGCCTCTCTCTCATTCCTCTGGATTTTAGGACTATTTTTGTGAAATCACAAAGACCATACAAAGAATCAAAGGATGAGATGCGTAAGAGGAGGCTTGGCTTTCTGTATAAAATGTGTTGTTCAATGATAGTTCTGTACAAAAAAGTAAAACCTTTTCTTGGATCAAGGAAAATCGTGTGTGTGTGTGTGTGTGTGTGTGTGTGTGTGAATACATGATGCATGTATATGTCTTTCTCTCTTTTTTTTTTTTTGGTACCGGGGATTGAACTCGGGTCCTTGTGCTTGTGCAGCAGGCAGTGAAACCACTGAGCTAAATCCCTGGCCCTGTCTTTCTCATCAGTCCACCTACCTACCAGCCTACATCCTCCCGCTTAGTTACCTAGACATCCTGTCTTGGACCCATGGGATTTTGGTTAGTTGGATCATTTCTTAGTTCCCTAATAATCTGTGAGATGACAAAACTAGAACAAAGAATAACCATCACATTATTGTTAAAGGTACCCT